GGGGGGTATTGGTGAATTTCCTGCATTGTGCAGGGGGTTGGACTAGATGACCCTGGAGATCCCTTCCCCCTCTATGAGTCTATGATTCACCCAGGCTGTCTGTGGGCACGCCAGGACCTCTGTCAGGCAGAAGCACCTGAAATCCTCCCCCTCCCCTTTTCCTTCACCCGACTTGGAGGTGAAGGGAAGGGAGAGGGGGGAAAGAATGGATCCCAGGTGCTTCTGCCTGTTAGAGGGGCTGGTGCACACTTCTGGTGATGTCAGGGTGTGTGGCATATGCTAATGAGCTCCTGCAGCTCTTTTTCTACGAAATGACTCCTGGAAAAGAGTAAATAATCAAGCGCTCAATGGGAGAATTGTTGCGGGTGTATAAATGACAGAGGCTCTGATTGTGGGTGTGCTGTACCGTAGGTATGATTAACCAGTTGAATTATGCTGATAAGAAATTAGTGGCACAGTTCCTTCTCATGAGTGGTAATCTAAGCTTCATAGGGCATGGAAACACTCTGTGAACCAAAATAACTATAACATGGATGCTGTATACCACTCCTGTTGTAATGAAGTACCTGATCAGAGTGTTACTTGTAGTATGCACATGCTTATCTTTTTCACAGTGGTCATGTAGGTGAGCATGGTGGATGAACAAATACACCTTTGTGTTGCCTGGAAGAACAAGACAATGCAAAGCTCCTGATCTGCTGGCTAAAGGACATGTGCCTATCACTGGTCTCTCAGCTTGGAAAATTTCATGGCTGCTAAATGGGGAACATTTCTGCTGCCCAGAAAAGACCACTTATTCCACTTTCCAACCCCATTGCTCACAGTTATAATTTTATAGGGACTCTGCCCTGAGCACTTCACTGGCTAAACCTGAAAGTGGCTTTTAGCCATATTATTCTACTATATTGAGAAGCATTTTGAATGCATTTGGTTTGACAAAAAACCCCAGTTGTATAAAAGAAATCAATTAGAACACCAGAATTTAAACAGTCTTTCTTCTTTATCTATGTGGCTGAGGCTTTGCTTCACCTTGCAGGAAGACACCTGCAAATACAGACACCTGGAAGAGTTTCAGTGGTTGCCAGGACTACCATTGATTAAGGAAGTACACAGTCACAGCGGTTTTTGAACTAAAGCTCAGAGGAGTTGATAAACCTCCTTTGTTTTGTAAAGGACAGGATATTGTCCAGCCTCTCTATATGTAATGTCTCCACCTTCCTGGTTTCCATCATGTCCATTGCAAATATTACAGGGATGTTTGTTTATTTCTGTCATTCATTCCTCACTTTTCTTCCCAATAGGCTTACATCATTCTTTTCTCCTCCATTTTATCCTCACAACTGCCCTGTGAAGTAGGTTAGGTTGAGAGTGTGTGACTGGCCCAAGGTCACCTAGCAAGCTTCCATGGCAGAGTGAGAATTTGAACCTGGGACTCCCAGATCCTAGTCCAGCACGGTGATCACTACATCATGCTGGTTGTCTGGTTCTTGAGATAATGTGGGCTAAGATGTTCCTAGTCCCTTCATTTTTGGCACTGGAACTCCCATGGTAACTAACGTTCGTCAATATTTCTTGTGGTCCTTTGTCTCTTTTTATTTTAGGCACTGGTTAATTAGGGAAGTATAAGATGGTTTTGGTAGCATTTCTTTGGAGTAGTTCTGGACAGAGGTATTCAATAGAGGGATAATTAATTATCGTATGGCATTGTGTTTGGTATAGTCAGGAGATCCGAAGATTGTCTGGCAGCCTTAAATTCTAACTCTTTTAGTGTTATGCACCACTAGGTGGTGAGCGAGACTTATTTTGGGGCTGAGAGACCCAAGGTCACCCAGCTGGCTTCATGTGGTGGAGTGCAGAATCGAACCTGGTTCTCCAGATTAGAGTCTGCCGCTCTTCACCACCACAGCAAAATAGAGGGAAATTCAAATGTGCAACACAACTTTATAGAGAACAAGGTGAAAATGTATAGTTTATATTGATACTTTAGCTGAATATAAACAACAGACTTTACAATAGAGAACATTAGGGAGATGTTATCATGTTATTCCCAATCTGCTGTGAGCCTTCCTCTCTCTCAGGGTTCATAATCCCTCTTCTCCCTATTGAGGTGAGTGTTTGGGTGTTTTTCAACCACCCGCTGCCTGTCTTGGCAGTTAAGAATAATTTTCCTCCATTCCACACCTCCCCCTCTGCTCTGTCAATCACAGAGGTTAACCCTTTCCTCAGTCTATACCTTTTGGAATCATTACAGTAATCCTGATGCCAGTGTCCAAAGAGGAAACTCCAAGCTTTATTAGGTATGCCTGCCGTAGACAGACAGTGGTCAGTAACATTGCAAATAGCAGAGGGATGTTCTGTAGATAAACTGGGCCAGAATGTTCTGATTCCCTTTCTTTTTGGCATAGCCTCTCCCACGATCATCCTGAAGCTAATGGTCTATGTGAAAACTCCTAGCTTTATTTTCTGATCAGCTACATGTGCCAGACTTGCATATACTTTTATTTTTATTAGATTTACTTACCTTTCACCCAATAGATAAAAAAACAGCTCTCTGATTTACAGTAGACTATGTATTCTCATTAGTGCCGGACAGATCCAACTAAGTTGGTTTTATGTTTGCAGAGGCAGCCCTGCCCCCAAGATGCTTTCACTGTATCCAGTCTCCATAACCTTTCCTGCAACTTGAGCTCTGTCATTTCTAGTGGATGTAAACAGCACCTCTTGTGCATTCCCAGTTGCAGGGAGAGCTGCCAACTCCCTCCTTTTCACTTGCCTTGTTAGCTTTTCTATGTCCAGTCCAGCTTTCCAGTTTCTGCTTTATTTCTCAGCTCATTTATTTTATTTAAATAATTTGTATGCTGCCTCTCCAGAACCTACTCAAGGCAGCTCACAACTAAAACAATAAATCAAGTCAATAAAAATGACAAA